GCTCCGGTAGTCTGGTACCTTCCGGCAGCAGGGGTGACCGACCAGTCTTGACCCCGGCCTCAGCGATTGGCGAAATCACATACATGCACAGACACACAAAACTCGCCAGCTTGAGCACAAGCCCCACTTAGTAAATAAATAAATTAGGATAACGCACCCATGCAAGGACACAGACATTCGGACGTTTCTGCGTCATCTGGACGTATCAAAGTGACTTTTGCTGCTATCCGCCATCCCCCAGAACCAACTGAATTGGCCAGTGAAGATGCGACATCTAATGGGTGACAAGCCTCAGCAACGGACAAGCACGACCGATGCGCTTTGAGCCAGGGCCCAACGTGACCCTCGTTGAAAATGGTGGTCAGTACAGCAGCCAAATAAGTGCTGCCGGGATGCGGACAGAGGCCGATAGCGTGTTGGACAAGAAAACGTATGAATTTGAGATTGCATAGGCTGTTACGAAAATGGTCGCATTGCGAAAAGACATTTATCCAACTATTCTTTTGTTCTCCGACTTTGCCCATTCTTTATGCTCCATCGACAGCCCTATTTGTACTGCTTTTCTCGTACTATCGGATCACAACTTACTATTCTTAAAATTTAATGACAAATGAATGTATTGTAAAGAGCGAAAATCTGCGTCATCGTTGGGTTGTATGATTTTATCCCTTTGGTCCTTGCCGTCTTTCACATTCGCCCCACACAGCCTTGACCAAAGTTCCCAAACTAACCTTTTTGAACAAGCCAATAACGTTCACGACTCCCTCCATTCACACATAGGCACGCAAACACATACATACAATTATCATCACCTTGCGGACAGACATTGCGAAAATGGTAACTGAAACAGGCTTGTTCTCGTCATGCCGTCTTGTTGACACATGCCACTTTGGGCAATTAGGCATGATGGCCGACATCAGAAACCGCAACCATGCCGTCAGCCTGTCCGCAATTTAAGCCGTCTCCCTCATCTTCTCTTCTTCACTTTTCACAAATCTGCTCTGTCTGCTTCACAATTGCACGAACAAGCATCGGGCGTGGCCGTAGAAAGTGGGACGCAGCTGTAAACTCAGCCAAACGCCTGTCAGTAGACCGTCTGAGAAGCCAGCCTAACGGAGTCTGGACGACTCTGAAAAAGCGGCTAAATCGCTCTCTTGGGCCAATTAATGCGATGAATGGCCATCTGAACAGTCGAGTACCTCCACGTGGCTCGGCCGATTAGCGGGTTTGATGAAGGTCATGGTCTGCCCCCGAAGGGGCTAGTGGATTTGTGCTGATGCCGCCCCAGAGGCATAAAAGAGAGGATGCATGTCAAAGAATTCCCAAGGAGAAATGGCCAGCTGCGCCAAGGCTACGCGAAAGCCGCACAAAACTGGTGTAGCTGCAATTGCGTCTTTTGCTCATCACTACCAGACAGGCAAGGTTTAATGCGACCCGAAGACCTGAAGATTAGGAATTAGCAAAAAATATTGTTGAAGTGGTTTGAGCCAGATTTCACACATTTTTCTTGTTGCCAGGCCAACTTTGAAGTATGCATATCGTCCTGATTCTTCTGTCAGAGTAGTCATACTAATTTGGAGAATCCCACCGTGAACTTGGTACAGTCTCGAGGCGAGAAAGTCTCTTTATTGGCTAGTAGCTTTGTGCTACAAACGTTAAAGTTCACTCGGGATGCTGGCAAAATGGTCGAGAATGCACTACTTCTTCGATTTGATGCTGTAAATTAGGATGTGATGTATTCTTCAAGATTACCTTGACAACGTGACACAATGTTGGTCAATTCTATGCATTGAATGGAGACGAAAATCGAATTGCAAGTCTTTATGTCTACAATTTAGACCATGGCTCGAAGTCCTTTACCAGAGTAGTAATGATAATTTTCAGAGTCGGGCTGTAGTATTGGTACATTCACAGAAGTGAGCATCCTTAGTGAGTTTTGCCAGTCTTAGCGTCAGGCTACAACTTGTCAACGAGGCAAGAGAAATTTATCTTTAAATCAATTGCTCTTATACGATTTTGATATCACTCCTTCTGTTGTGACTTGTCTCTTTCCCGAGCGGTAGCTTGCTGCTAAGACTGTCAAGGCTGACTAGTAATGCTGACTACGATTCCGGTGATACATCTGGGGATGTTTAAAGCCCACTGTTAGATACTGGAAGTTATAATGACCACTATGGCCGAGAACTTCGGAAAAACTGTGTTTATCTAGGTCGCCCTGGCAACACGACCAAGTGGCGAAGATGAGATTAAATTACGTCTAAAGAGCGAAGGAAGACTGCAACTAGAATGGAGGCTGCACCATATCGGTATCCAAAGCTGAGCTTAAAATGTGATTTGCGCTATTATCAAATTGTCTATTTAGACGCTACAAGTGGACTAACCAAAATTATTAGATTATCGCTTAACAGCGAGATGTAAAGTTGTCTGATATTTTATGTACAATTCGGTTCAGCCATTTTGATAGCAATTACAATCCGTATTGAGTTGGCCTGGACACTTTTTCCTCTCAACTGTCATCGTGAGCGTGCCCTTTCAGCTTCGGAGCATATAATGAAGACTATTGGATTGTATGCAGAATTTCTCGCATCACTGGTAAGACAAATAGGAAAATTCCTTTCAAAAAACTTTTCCCTCCAAATGGGAACTCGCGTAGCACCAAATAATGAGATATTTTTCGAGGCCTATCTTTTCTTGCTATATCAACCGAGTACAAAATGAAACAAGTCAAGACTTGCCTGTCTCAATATGACTTGTCATTCTGGTAATTTGGAAAAGAAAAACGGTTACCATAAATATGAAAAATCTAAATTCAACTTTTCATTTGGACCAGACAGATTTCAATGAAAAGACAATAGATAACTGTACGCAGTAAACCGGGCTCTGGTGCGAAAACATTAGCAGAACTCGCTTCGAGTAAAGCCTCACAGACGTATTCTTTAAATGTCGTCGATCAGATGGACCTGGATGCAGAATAACGAGAGGCTTCGCGCCTATGTGGTCAAATTCCGCTCTAGATACTATCTGCATGCCATCCGGTTGGATAGCGAGATCCGGTGAGGCAACACTTTTACGATAATTGGCCGTAATTTCACATCACATTCACCATAATCTGTGGCTCCGCCAGACTTGTACAAAAAGACTAATGCTGAAAACTCACGTGTCTAGTTGCCTCATGCCACCCAAGGCTCACGAAACTGCATTCTGGCCCAGCCGTGTCAGGGCAACCTGTGTGTGGGCGCATGAAGTTCGGATAACAGCCGACTTCAAGGCTGTATACCTCGGCTTCTGCACGCGACGTCTAATCGTGTCACATTCTTCATAGCCTTCCGGTTGTATGCCAGTTACGTGCAATGGTTTTCAGGCTGTTCACATTTTGTGGCTATACATATTTGCCAATTATGCATCTAAGGCCTTCATAGACTCGATGTGTACAGTAGCAGAATGAAGACAGTGCTCATATGAGTTTATCGTAAATACGACTTATGATCTGTATCGTATAAAATTGAGGCGATAAACATAATCAACACTTATTATTTGGTATTCATAGTTCAACTTCGGAGACATAGGTCACCGCAATTTGTCCAGCATTCAGTAACAGTGACTTTTTTCATTATGCCTCCCTCTCCCTAAATATATACATACACATACACACACATATATATATATATATATATAATGAAGCGGTTGTGAGGCTAACTGAGGAGTATGGTATAATAGCGTGACCACACAATAGGACAGGAAGGTCGACAAAAGCTGAAGTCATTGAAGTTGAAGTGGCACAGCTGCCCGGGCTGGCAACATGACATGCAGTCGGCTTATACAGAGCAAATCAATATTTAAGCTGCTGTCTGATTTACTGTAGTTATGTGTGTACTTTGTTGGAGGAGCAAAGGGGGGGATGAGTCCGAGGATCAAGGAGACCAGATTTAACCTCCTCTGCGAATGGTACCCATGATCAGAGTGAACGAAATTCAACAGATTACGTTTTATTGGTACAGTTGGCTATTTGTTTGGTGATGTGGTCTGTTGAGGTAATATAGTGTCCTTCCTGATTAGCCACCGTCCTGTTAAAAAGGCTCAAAAAAACGTGATCCGTGTCTGCGTAACTATCACACACAAAAGTGAGTCATACTTTCCCTAACT